GAAGAAAGGGAAGTTCTAAATGTCTCACTGAGCCCGGTCACAGTGTGCCGTTATAATTAAGCCATGCAAGTTGATTTCAATATGAATCCGTCAATGAGCTGTCATTTTTTTCTCTCCTCCAGATGCAAACTCCTGTAGCTTGATGCCAGATGGGCGAAATGTAACTCATGCATGTATTTATAAAAGCCAGTGATTCCAAAATTAAAAATACATTCAGTTTTAGAAGCTGGCAGGTACAAAAAGTGACTGAGACACATGTAACAGAAGCACTGGTTCATCTTTTAATGTGCAAACTAGTTGAAATTGATTTGTCATCCTCACTGCTAACATCTCCAGATGTTCGATGTCCAGTTGACATTTGATGATACAGAGACACAGTGGGGTAATCTGGCAGAGAGCAGGTGACTGTTGGCAGAGCATCTTCGTTTCGGTGCATTAGGTGAGCCACCTGCTCTTCTGGGTGAATATGCACATTGTGGATTCTTTGCCAGCTGGTGCCCCTCAAACTCTGTTTTCTTCGCTAAATACACTGTGTGTTTTGTTGTTTCTATTTTGACTTTGAATTGTGTTGCTCGTGAGCTCGAAACTCAAACTCTGACCATGTGAGCTTCTGCAGCAGCAGAGAGGGAGGAGGAGAATCAGCAAAAAAAGGGAGGAAACATGGTTGTTTTTGGATGACTTCCACATAGAGGCCAGGGTCATGTCGTCTGGGAAATGGACAGACTTTGTGGGAATTCCGCGCCGCTGTGTACTTCCCGCATGTGACAGACTCTTCCAGAAAGCAAGGCTCGAAAATCATCTCGAAGCCGAAGTGGGGCAGGAAGCAAAGTCAGTCATCGAGATAATGCATGAATCAAGATAAAGAGTGTTTTGAAATTAACCAAAAGCACAGAGCATAAATAGAGATCACAATTTAATAAGGTTTAGTAGTTTTTAACCAAGTAAATTAATGTGACATATTTTTGGCTGGACCCATAAAATGAAAAAAAATATCTGAAAACATACAGCTGATGTTTTCCAAAGTTCAGGTAAAGGGAAAAGTGATCAAATGTAAAGTCATCTCTGTGCATCATGGAGAGAAATGATTCAAGTCAATAAAACACAGAAACAAATGAAAAGAAAACACACACATAAACACAAGGACAGTAATGCAGCCCAGATGGAGGATCATCATTTTACCTCTAATATGTTTGTATACATATGATGTAGATACACATTACGTATTAGTAGTGCAATTAAAGAAGCTGTAAAATGCTGTATTACACTGTATGTTTATGAATATCTTTAAACATAGTTAAGATTACATAACATATATTTGAAGGTAGATTATAATAATAATTGTTATGTATATGCAGCTACTGTATTTAGGGATCTGGAAAGTGCGGAGGTCAGAGACTGTATTAAACAACAGCTGAATAACAGATGGTGCTGTAATATAATTAATGTGATGAATAAGTGCTTAAAACAAACAAATCGAAAACTGCTTTGTGAGCACTTCCAACAAACTAAGGCAACTTGCTTTTGGTTTCTTTATCACATGTGAAGCCAAAAGTGTTTCACTGTTTGACCTTTGAGCCTGCAATTGCTATTTCTAGATTTTTTTTGGCTAAATGAGGACAACATAACAATAACAATGTAATCCTTGTGATATTCCTTTTAATCAAAACACATTTATATTTGGCATTTTCTTCAATAGCAGCTGTTTATATTGTGTTATATATCGATCAGCTGCTGAAATGTGTATTTTTGGCGTAGTCAAGCCATGACGCTTTGGAAAATGCTTAAAACAATGAAATTATTTTTACTGATTAATTCAAAAATATGGTAGATTCAGCTACAACATTAAAAGATGTTAGCTGTGACTAATGTGTGCAGGGATTTGTATTGTCAGTGGCAGAATCTGTCAAACATACTATAAATAAGTGCTGCCTTGTTCACAACATGTCATTTCACTATAAACTAAGACACCAGCTGCTCTGGCTACTCAAGGAGTCCTCGCTGATCAATCTCTCTTAAAGTAGCTAATGAGCAGAGTCTCAGACACAGTAACAATAAGAGTCAACAAATCACCCAAGACATTTTAATTTATGAGGCGGCAAACTTTTTAGTAAATACTTTATTATGAACAGAAACATGGAGGAACATAGAAAGAATTACGTCATATCTGTATCCACTAGATTAATATTCACAGTTACGTTGGGTCAGAGTTGCTCTCTGTAAGAGATGAAGAGTGAGAAGCCCAATCAGGGCCAGCCTCTTGTTGTTGCAATGACCCACATTTGAAACAGTTTATGACATAAATGTCAATGGTGTTGATTATTGTAATATCTTAGGGCTGTTATGAGTATCCATGCCACTGAACACAATTAAGGAAGTGGGAGTACCAATCTGTCCTGGTTTGCTCCAGTTGTTGTTTGTGCATCAGCAACAACTGGATATCAGACACTCACAGTTCCTTTTCTAAGAACCGTGTCAGGATCTCATTCTGCTGTTAGATAACAAAGGCGTTATATGATATAACATCAATTTGCTGTCACTGTAGGAGAGGCATACACAGGCAGGAGATGTGTCTCTATATAACCACAGCAACACAAAAGGTATCTGTGAGTATACGGGTTTGTCAGTGAGGCTTTAAAAGACAGTTACAGAATAAGGTGAATCATTGAAGGAGAAATTAATATTTAGCAACCAATCAATTTGATTTAACCTCATTTTGCAATGTGAAAAATAAGTGTTGATCTCATAATTTCATTAAATTGTTTTATTGTACACTTTTTGTAGTTGTCGTGTAAATTGCTGTGTAGACTGGAAAACTGGAACATGATGAAACATTTCCATTGAGGACAAATGAATGTCTCTTCCTTACCAAAGAAAGCCAAATTACTTATTTTTCTTCCTCACAGCTCACCCTGCCAGACGCCCCAGTTTAAGCATTTTCCTTCTAGGAAGTTTCTTTCACTGCAGACCTAACAAAGACTACATTTACACAGAAGAAGCAGGGGAGCAGCTCGTTATTTCAGGCCTTAGTGACCTGCCATTGGCAGAACCGGTGTGTCGGACAAAGCAGCCACTTAAGGGGAGAGTTAGTATTGTTCGGGCTGCCGGCTGAGGCACTCGGCTCAGAAACTTTAAATGAGCTCGCTGCCTCTCCATCCGGCTGCCTGATTTTATCTTTCTTGTGCTGTTTCCTGTGAAGCCAATGAGAAATAACCTGTTAGCAGCGTTTACTGTTAGCCAGCTCAGTCTGGCTAAATTTAGATTTTTCTGATTCAGTGAACAATAGTTTTCTCCGCCCGGAGGTTATGAGCACAGATATAGCTCTGGTTATAAAGCGGACAAGAATGATTGTCCCAGACAGGGACTGTACAAGTGCTTCCTTATGAACTTTTGACACATAAAAGCCTCTGCTCGTTTCCTTGGGCCTGTTCAGTTTCACCTTTATCCTGATCATTGGTTCACAAAGTTTGGTGACCTTGTGAAACTTGAATAGTAGTTTTCTAGGGCATTTGCTCTCTATTAAATCTTCTGCTGCCTCTTACTTCAAGTCTACTGTATGTTTCCGTCTTTTTCACTTCATTACATTTTAGAACAGCTACAGCCACTGGTTCTCTCACAGGTTTTGAAAAATACAGGATCAGCTTTTTACATTAGATACATATCATTTAGCTGACGCTTTATAAAAATCGACTTAATAAGTGTATTAAACCATGAGGGAACAAACCCAGATCAGCAAGAGGTAAGTAAGTACAATTTGCTTCAAAAAAGACAAACTACAAGTGCTACATGTAAGTGCAATAAGTGTAACTAACTTTGTTTTCATCTTTTTTAAATGTATATATTGAGGTGACGATGGCCATTAAACATCATCTTCTAAACCAAGGTGTAGTCGGAAGAGATGTGTCTTTAGTCTGCGGTGGAAGATGTGTAGACTTTCTGCTTTCCTGATGTAAATGTTCCACCGTTTGGGGGCCAGGACAGCAACCAGTCGAGATTTTGTGGCTACGTCTCTGTAGCAGTGAGGGAGCAGGAAGCCGATTGGCTGATGCAGAGCGGAGTGGACGGGCCTGGGTGCGAGGTTTAACCATGTCCTGGATGTAGACTGGGCCCAATCCGTTCATAGCACGGTACACAAGTACTAGTGTCTTGAGACTAGTGTGAGTGAGAAGATGATGAAACAAGAACATAAAGTAGTAAAACATGGCTATATCTGTTGCTCATGTTTTATACTAATGATAGTAATCCAGCAATGATAGAAGCAAGAATAAAACCTTCTAAAGCTTGTATTTAACTTGGTATTACTGTCCAGTGAAAACCATGGATCTCTGAAACAGACGTCTGTCAATTCAGAGCATATGTTCATTACTGAAGCAAGTGTAGACAGTGTGCGGGCGTCTCTTCTTCCTCGAAGTTGTCTACTCTACTAATGCACCCGTCACAAACATCATTCAGCTGATCAAGTAATTTTATTGCATAAAAACAAATGGTGTGTTATTTTATGGGCTGCGATACAGCTCTCCTTCTTATGCTGAACAATCAATTTGTGTTACTTTTTCTTAATTCAAGGACCTGATTACAGTCCAGATCTGTCAAATCCGTCATTTTGGAATGTATTGACAAATATTCTGTTTATGCATGAGGGTTAAACTTTGCTTCTATTAGAGACAGGTCTGTCACAATGTCCTCACTCTAGGGGATTTTTTACCCTTGTGTGAAAGTCTGGATTTCCAGGGAAACACACAAATACACTTGTTCACACACATTCACACCCCTGTGAATGAGCACAAAGACATTTATGACTTAGGAGTAAATTCCATCAATGTCACCACCACATGTGTTTTCCAGTAGTGAGGAAGTAGTCTGGAGGAAAATCAGCGTAGAGGCGTCACCTCATCCTCCCACATGTCTTCTTTCATTGGCTGAGAGTCATGATGTCACAGTGTGGACTACCCTATAAAGAGTGCCTCTCTGACAGAGGAAGGCAGACCAGCTGAAAGCTCACTCACTGACAGCAACAAGACTTGTAGCTGTAACATACTTAAAAACACTTTGGGAATATTCAACCGTGAGCAGAAAAAAAATATCTCATCATGTGCAGAGGACTTGAATCACTGCCCATCACCTGCCTGGAGAGGTGAGATCCACTGAGGTTTTCTTGTTTTGGTGGAAAAGTGATTGAACTTTTAGAATATGACAGTGTCACTTAATTTACTTTAAATGTGTCTTTTTTATAATTTGTTCTCTTTCTGTATCTTCGCAGGGCAAAGGAGCTGAAAGCTTTGTTTGGAAGTTTACTCCAGAAGTCAGATCACAGCATCGCTTGCACTGGACAGACAAAGAAATGTGACAAACTGAGGTAAAATTTAAAATTAAAATTTTTATATAATTTAATCCAGCGATCAGAATAACAGAGGATGACAGAGACTTTTCAAACTTATACTAATGTTTTTTCTGGTCCTGTAGGTGTATCAATGAGCCTTTGAAGTGGAAGGAGTCGTTTGAGAAACTGCTCTCCAGCCAAAGTAAGAACACATCACGTCACACTTGCATCGGTAGAATTGAATAATTTCCAGATGTTTGAAATGACTACAAGATGTTGATCATCTCTTTCTCCTGTTTCCAGATGGGCTGTGCCTGTTCAGAGCGTTCCTCGTCAGTGAGTTCAGTGAGGAAAACATCGCCTTTTACTTGGCCTGCGAGGACTACAGGGCCACTAAACCCTCAAAGCTGGCCACTAAAGCAAAGAAAATTTATGATGAATTCATTGGATCTGATGCACCACGAGAGGTAAATATCAAATAGGTCAAAAAGACACATAAGGATGCTCTGTTATCTCTCTCATCTTGCTGCATAATCACCTCTGTAACTCTTTTATTTCTCCATAGGTAAATCTAGACCATGTGACCAAAGCCATCATCAAGGAGAACACAGAGCATCCCAGTCAGTCCTCTTTTGATCTGGCCCAATCCAAAATCTATACCCTGATGGAGAAGGACTGCTACCCTCGCTTCCTCAAGTCCTCCATGTACCTGGAGCTCAGTAGAAAGACCAGAGCATCCTAAAAGACTTTCTTCCTCTGACAAACTTTCCTGTGAGCTGCAGACGAGACGTGATCACTCCTCAAAAGGCACATAAGATTTCTGATGCACAGCGGAGACTGTAAAGGTTTCGGATTGGAATGAATTCCTAAGTCCGAGGAGTTTCATTCATGTGGAGTTATTTCAGAGACATGGGGGTCGAGCTGGGGTCCGAGCTGACAGCTACAGAACAATGACGCTGTGAGAAAAGACTGAGCTGCAGATGTCTGACTCCGAAAGAAACACATGTGCTGTATATACATGAACAGCAGCTTCAGTGGCATGAAGTATGACTGACAAGAATGAATTTCACACAACTAAAACTACCACTAGGAGAGATGCACATCCTCTCCATAGCATTAATTTGTTCGTTTATTTATTCTTTATTTATTAAAAGTTCATTTTTATCATGTGAATGTTTGCCGTGCAGCTGGTCGGTGAAAACTGATTTGAATTGAATATGTTTTTATCATAAGTACTGTATGTGAAACTTGAATAAAATAATTTCCAGAGACAAAATGCTTTTGTTTTGTTCCATGGAAAATTTTTAGGTGGTTGGGGGTCACTGAGGGTGGGAGAAATGTGGGAGGTAGGAAGAAGATGTTCACTGTTACAGCTGCAAACTATGTGGCCTCAGTATGTTCCACTTCACAAGTAAGTGACAGGATGAGTCTGTGGGGCAACAGTCAATGGAAGATATGAAGTGTGTGTGTGTGTGTGTGTGTGTGTGTGTGTGTGTGTGTGTGTGTGTGTGTGTGTGTGTGTGAGAGAGAGACAACAGCTATGATTAATCCAAACTGAAGACATAAGTCACACACATCCGAAAAAATTACAAACATAGATGTCATTTGACTTTTTTTTATTTGATTAAGTTTGTAGTTTATCTAAAGTCACCAGGAGTACTTTAACATTTTTTAAAATAGGACTAAGCCTGTTAGCATACATACTTTTGCATCTGTCATACAAGATATAAATTGCCAAATAGTGAGCTGGTACTTGCATACTTTTCACCACTGGACAGAGCATGCTATGTGTTCACCCTGTTTCTTGTCTTCATGCTAAGCTAACTCCCCTGCTGGCTCTAGCTCAGGGGCGCAGATCCAAGGTTACTATGATTTCAGCCAATAAAAATTTTCTGCAGCATCAGGGCTCCTTCATTAATTCTCATCCTGAATGAGGTTTCAGCCTCTTAACTTGCTCACCATAAAATCTGCCTGGGTAAAATTGTTGCTGTTAGAATGTAAAAATGCTAAAACTTTGCCTTTTTCATCGCTCTGATCACATCCCTGAAAACTAGAGACTCGTTCATTTATATTTTGGGAAAAAAATTACCTTTTGTCAACTCAATTGAAAGTGCAACATGTACTTTTCAGTTTTTTTCACTTACTTATCATGTCAGCCTGAGGCCGGCGGTTTCCTTATCCTCGATCTATTTCAATATTTAATGGACAGGCAGGCCAGTGTTATCAACCTTTTTTGTCTAATTCTCATATATGTCTAACTATTCACTTGAAAACTAAAATATAAATACACTGAAATTGAACAAAATATAAACTACACTGCAGAGACAAAGGTGCAAACTCCATCTGCTGATGAAGGTTGTGTGTTAAAAAGCTCAGGAGCAGCAATGACTGTAATGGAAGATGAGGTGTTTTGTACGATCCTGTTACTGAGTATCAGTGACATTCAAAATACAATCCTTTGGTCTTTGTGGTTCTTAACACACTAATGTTTGTTCAAGTGTTCATTTAATTTTTGGTAATTTTGGTTTTGATGTTATAATAATGAGTTGAAATGACATGAATGACGGCTGAGACTGACTCGCCGTGTTCTCATCCAACTCTCAGTAAGAAAACAAATGAGCACATTTCCTTCAATGTCCAGATTAGTGGATGTGGGTCAAGGTTTAGATTTAGGTTTGACTCAAGACTGCTGGTTTGGTTTCAATGAGATGAAGTGCAGGGGCTTTGAAGCACTACAAGTGTTTGTCCAAAAAACAAGTCCGTTATTCTGAGAAGCATCTGAGCATGAGGGCCAGTTGCCATGGAGACAGCAGGCACCTACCGAGCACCTCCACAGGCAGGTTTGTTTACTACCTCAGCAGCCGCTCACCACCTGTGCGTCACAGCAGCCTCCCCTCCCTTTTGTAAATCGGCCCCTTCCCTCCATTCTATTGCAGTCAATCACTGCCGCATCCTCGCCTCTTTGATGGCAAGCTCTCCCTCTCCCACTCACTCCTGATGCAAAGAGCCAACTCCTGTTCAAACACTCAGCCTCTACAAAGGTGAGGGCGAAGTCATTACCTCCACTCTCACACTCATGGAAAATGACAGAGGCTTTCTCTCCACCCTCTTTCTTTCAGCCTGAAGTGATGAGTAATGACTCGTCTTCTGAGCCTGGACACACACTGACTGGATTAAGTGAAGAAACGCTGATGTGTTTTTTTTTCGGCTCAGTAAAGTGAGACTCGTGTCCTCAGGGAACACATGGACTTTACTTTTAATTGTCACTGACTATGTGCTTAAGCAGCAGATATTACACATACTGTCTTTGAAGAAGGATGAGTTTCAGGATTCTGTGTGGGCAGGTAGTCATAGTTCATTTCCAATGTAAGCATTGCATATTACATCAAACTGTGGAAAACAAAAGAAACTTGTGGAGACCTGATCAGTCATGACTGCATGTGGTTGGATAGAACTTGTGGAGACTTTTTGTTTTTCTATTATATAACTTTTGTTTTACTACAACACAAATAATAACCAAGCAACATAGAGAGAAGATTAAAGATGACTAACTTAAATAGCTTTCACGCATGTAGGAAAATTGGTTCACTGTGGCAATAAGAACTTGGATCAACACAAAAAAAATACACTACATTAAAAAACTTTTTAGCATTAGCGTTACAGCCTCTGGGTTGTAGTGTTCTCACTTTAATCAAATGCAGAGTGGAGAATTAGACTATGGTGATGCAAAGCAGTGCAGTCTCATGTGATGTGTGTAACTGCATGCAGATGGGTGGACAAACGAAGTTGAGCTATGAAATAAGTACAGGTGAATCACATTGAACTGGATTCCAGTCAGAGCCTGACTGGACTTCCTGACTTCCTGAGCTTTCTTGAGATTTTTCTTCACGTTTTTCGACTATGAAGACATAATGCGTGACTTCCCCTTTCTGTTTGGCAGAATCTTCTTATTAGCAGAAGAATAAAGTAAATTTCAGTTTGGTCTCTAGAAGCCTAATAATTAAAGTTGCTGCGCCCCAGCAAAAAAACTGTGACAGGCTAAAGTATCGCATTGAAATGCACTTATGAACGTAGCATCAAAATACTCAGATGAGACACAACATTGAAATCAGTTACCTGTTTTAATGTTATGGTTAATGTTGCATATGTCATAATATGACCTAAATTGTCATTGTAATTCACTGACAACAACAACTACTATACAGCAGTCTTTACTCATACAGGAGATGTCAGAGTTGTAAACAGTGACAATAATAAAAATGTATATGTGCTAATAACTCTCGATCAACAACTTCCCTTCCAACATCAGCTCAGCAGAATCAGTGCCAGTTTTCAAAGTGGTAAGAAACTCACTCACTTTTTTATTGTATTGTTTTAAAATTGTTATTTTATTGTTTTATTATTGTTCTTGTATCTGTTTTGTTTTATTGCATTGATGAGTGTATGATTTGCTAATTTTGCACTTTTATTATCTTGTAACTCTGGTTTTAAAAGTTGCCACAAAATAAAGTTGATTATCATTTATCATTATTATAACCATGTTATAGTGTATTATATAGTGTACTATATGTTAAGTATTCTTCAGATGCATCAGTGTAGTAGTAAATGTACTTTACATCCCACTACTGCACATGGAAGAGTAAGTGGGTCATTTATAGAAGGATAATCCTGACTCTTGTTTATTCACTCAATATGTATGTTGTTTACATTGATGAAATCCATTTACTAGGCAGAGAATGAATAGAGTTTTTATTACTGTGTTATTATGGGGCATTCATTGAAGCACAAATTAAGATTTTGAACATAACTTAAAGTTTTCATACTAAACAAAAAGTACGTTAAAACATAGCTACAGTATCATGCAAATCAAATTTCAGATGTTATTTCAAAAGCTTTGGTTTAGTCCAAGCATGAGGAAAAAAAGTATCAAGAATAGAAAATGTATTTGAGGTCAGTACAGTACCTCACAGTTCACTGGGACAGTTAAATGAATGGGAGTTTAGAGGCCTGGATAAAAAAAAGTCTGTTTTCCTGATCTCTAAAACTGCTCCCTAAATCAAACTGGAAAAAATGGTTGTCTGTGTTTTTCTTTAAAAAAGAAGAGTTACCATACAGGAAATCTAAAGTGGAGCTCAACATTATTGGCCTATTTTTAACAACGGGAGTTTCTTCTTGGGGAAAATCCACTCAGAGCTTTGGACAACAACATCAAAGTAAAATAATAATGATAAAATTAATCTGGGACACACCAGACAAGAACAGATAAAAAAGGAAAAGTAACTCAGAGTGTTGTTGTCTGTATAATACAGTCAAAATACAGATTGTATTTTATTATTTTAAGTGAGCAAGGGATCATTTGTTGCATGTCATCCCATCTCTCTCTCTCTCTCTCTCTCTCTCTCTCTCTCTCTCTCTCTCTCTCTCTCTCTGTTTTGATACACTTCCTGTCAAAATTCACTATCAAAATAAAGGCCAAAATGTACCAACTAAAATATTTAAAGCAGATAAGATACAAGATATCACTGCTTCTTAGAGCCTCCAACAATTATTTAAAGAAATAATCTGCACAAATCCAAAAACCCAGATACACAACAAGACTCTGCTTGAAAAACAAGATCTCATCTCCTAACATTACTAAATAATGGCTCAACCTATGTCTGTGCCTATAATGTCTTTTAACTGGCCTGGAGACAGGGGTTTAATATTCAGGATGAAAACACTAATTCCATGCCGGCTAGCAAGAAATAACCACATAATACGTCTGAATGATTATAAAAGTACAAGATCAATTATAGTGAGGATCATGAAGTGTTTACTCTGTATCACGAACAGGTCCCACGCCTGGATGAGCTGTCATGGGAGAGGCTAAACCTGGTATTTTTGACGCGAGTGTCTGGATCAGTTTAAGTCGAGGGCTTTAAATGTCAGGAAGGTGGAAACATAATGTGGCACAGAGCAGGTAGAGCTCTGTGAAACCGTGGATCTGGCTCTACTTCACCGGTAGGAATGAGTCAGTATACTCATTTTAAAGCACATTTGTTGTGAGAGCGATGATTAATATCATCATCGACGGTGCTCCAACTTGGAACAGTGGTGTAAAAACAAAGAGCTGTAGTCATGGCTACCGGGTAACCAAGGCAACAAACCCAGCAGAGCTAAGTGGTCCCATCCCAACATTTATTCTAAAATACCCAATTATACTATGAGAGCTTAAACTCATGTTTATTTCATTCAGAATGGCCGAAAAGAAAAATGTGTTGCCTCAAATAAACTTGTTTTTGTCCACTTGTTAAAAACAGGGCCTCTTGTCAGGCATCATAAACAACTATCTGCTATTAATACACAAGGGTGAAATACGAAAATATAACTCGCTGGCTCTATTTCAACATCTGCCATGCATTATTTTACTTCATGATGCCATGTTAAGCCAGTGGGGAGTTGAGTCATATACAGGGAACAGTGATGACTCACTTCAGTAGGTAAAGCCACATGTGTTTGTTTAAAGTGTATATTGCCAGGAACTGATGGAGAGCTAGAGGAGATATAGTTTCTCAGTGGAGTTACAACAGAGTTTCTGCGTTGGATCTTCTTTCCTATATATCCCGCAAACAAAAAAACCTACAGACAGCATACTGTCAATTGACCAAAGTGTTAATAAATATAGTAATAAAACGTAAGGGTGGTTGGATGTTGTCCAGGGCATTTCTCTTGTTTCCACACAGTGAGGGTTGGCATAGGTAAACGCAAAGACAGCAAGACAAAACTTAGGAAAGCAGTTGAAATCAACAATGCATAAAAAGTGTCTGAATTGTCTGTTTCCAAGAGTCTGTCTCATAAGGCACTTCATTTGTGGTGTTTCTGCAACTCAAGGAGACAGTCCAATGTTTCTCATATCTTTAGAAATAATCTTCTAACAGGCCTGTTCAGTTCATGAAACAACACTTCTCACCATGTATTAGTCAGTTTTGTTCTCACTTAATTTATTACACATTAGTAGGATTTGACTTCAAAAATATTGTGAAAATCATGAACCCTTTAAAGTTCTCTATCATGGTGTTGGACGAGACCAGACATTAATCAGATGCTAATTGAGTTTGTTATGCTAAAAGCATTGGGATCATGTTTTAATGTCCTGGCTAATTGACCACTGCAACAAAATAAATATGGGCAAAGTCAAACTGGGGCCAACACACATTAATCGGATAGTTAATTTTAGGAAATACACTTATTTGTGTTTTTGCCAAGAGATAGATAAGATGATTGATACCATTCTCAAAACATCCATTGAATATCAAGCTACAGTGAGCGGCCTGTTAGCCTAGCTTAGCATAGAGACTGGGAGAAATTGCCAGCCTAGCTCTGTCGAAAGCAACACAATTCAACTAGAGCACCTCTAACACTCACTAGTTAATCCATTGTGGCTATTTTTTACTCCATACAAAAAATAGCCAGCTGGTCAAAGGTAAGATTTTGGTTGAGGAGTGTGTTGAGGAGTGTGTCTAGATTGGCCTGTCTTAGAATTCACACTCTGTGATTGGTAGATATATGTGGTGCTGTTAGCACCTAAAAAGTCAGAGGCCATTGTTTGCTGCTGAGAACAATGAAATGCTCCCCTTGGTTTGGGACAGACTGTCTGCCTCAAGTGTTCAAGTGTCTCTGGTCTTGTACACAAATTGCGGTAGCAGGTAGCGAGAGGGTGACAGGCACAGCAGTGCCGCATCAGCCGTAAAGCTGGTGCTGAACCTGATAATTGTGGTGAAGAGTGAGCTAACCCTTTAGGTGAACCATTAATTCACCAGTCAATACATTCTGACCCTCATCTATGGTCGTGGCCTTTGGGTGGTGACCTAAAGATTGAGATTGTGTATACAAGTGTCTGAAATGATTTTTTTTCTCCACAGGGTGTCTGGAGTCAGTCTTAAAGAGAGACTCTTTCTAATGAGGTGGTTTAAGCCTTTGATTAAGGATGCCTTCTGGGAACCTTCTATATCGTCCAAAGGTAGGAGATCATGGGGTAGACCTAGAACACAGCAGCATGGCTCTGTGAATGGCAATGTCTGTCTTTTGATCAGTTCATCACATTTGTCTCTATTGCATTGCTTTCATAGTCCTCAGGAAATGTATTCTAATGATTTTGTTGATCACCTACCTTTTCCACCCATACTGCCATACAGTTGCCTTTTGATGTTGAGCGGATAATGAACTGGATAGTCGTTTGCGTTTGGTACAAAGATTTACATTCACATAAAAACATGTACAGGACAAAACATGTTACAGTTTGGATGCGAACCTATTCAGTGTGTCGGCAGTAATTACAAAATACAAATGCACAGCGAGACAAAAGCCACACAGCTTCCACTCCTCGATGATGCTGAGTGTAGTAACTGCAGCATCTGACGCACATGTTTCACTTTTCATTAACTTCACAATAGAAGCCACACAGGGATCGTTCCCTCTCATCCTTAGTACTACTGTTTTCCAATAAAGTGTAAACATATGAGAGACTTCTCACCAGCCATCGTAGCTGCTTTAACAAGCTGGAAGATGTTTTTCAGCCTGCAATATTTCTGTTCTCTTCAAGGAGGATCTCACAGTACACTTTGTTCCCAAGAAACAGTGACTGGACACCTTTAGCTGAGAAAGGAGACAATGGGAGGGACGAGCACTCAGTTCATTTGGACTTTAATGGATGGTGCCTTATACCGAGACAGAAGGTACAACAACTGTGCTGAGTTGTTCCTGACAAGGGTCAAGAAAAGACAAGCTGCACAAAGAAGATGAAAAAACAGCACATAGAATAAGAGGCAGCATCTTTGAGACATAAAGTGAATATTTGACTTCAGCTTGGTCTCACAAGCTGGTCCGAGCTTTATATACTGTAAAACACGAAGTACTCTCCTGCCACCTATTGGAAAACAAACATAACAGACCTGTACAGGTTTCACTATAAATGTATGGCCAAGAAGGATTTCATGTACCTCAACAGGGAAACTTAAATAAGATGTGCTCTCAACTTGTATGCAGGTGTGTGGTTGTTTAATAAGAAACTGGTCAGTGTGACAAAACACAATATTTTTGATAGTCAATTATCTTTATTAACAACTAATCAATTACATATATTTATATATCACAGCACTCTGCAGCTTCTCTCAGATCTATGGATCATGTCTTTCAGCTCATTGCAATGAGACTTTTATTTTCAGGGGGTTTAAAGCTTTTTAAACTAAACATAATATAGCATCACTAAAGTTGCATCAAACAGCCGATGCTTTAAAATGTTTGTGTTATATTCTTCAAATCTGCTGGCTGAATATGAATTAGAATACTTTACTTTACTTTGAAAAGTAATCACATCTCTCCTGTTTTAGGCTCCCCTCCTTGGCTGCCTGTGAGTTTTAGAATTGACTTTAGAATATTGCCGATGACGTTTTAGGTCCTTTGGTGCTGAGATAGTTGGCTGAGCTGTTAAATCAGTTCTCACCAGCCCGTAGCTTCCAATCTTTAAATAAGACTCTGCTAGTTATCTCTTGGTCAAGAATTGAAACCAAAAGCGACAGAGCTTTTCCAGTCAGGGCCCCAAGCCACTGAGATAGTTGATCTGCAGAACTTCACTCTCAACTTTTTAATCTTCTCTCAAAAAGTTCTTTGACTGGGTAACTTTCCCTTATTGTTTTTTCTGTTAATTGTATAATTATTTAATGCTATTCTTTTACAATAACTGTTAACAGTTTAATGTCCCATTGCACTTGTTTATTTTAAATGATGCAATATGTGTATTTGTCTTTTTGAATTCTAAATGTTGTATAATATGATTTGCTGTGTTTTATATTTTAAATATCAGTGTATTGTCGTTGATGTTGATGATGTCTTTGTGTTTTTTTTGTCTTTCTATGCAGAGAAGTGCAATGATGATGATGATGATGATGATGATGATGATGATGATGACGACGATGATGATTATTATTATTACTAGTAGTAGTAGTAGCAGTAGTTGTAGTTGTTGTTGTATATTCTCATTTCTTATTTCTTAAAACGCCATTAAAGCAAGCAGACTAAGAAATTAAAAGAAAAAGCTTTGTATTGTCAAATGAGAGAAGGGACTTACTATATTAAAGAAAAATATCCGTTCAATAAATCTGAATCTGCCTCTAAGACTTCAGAGCAGCAACAGACATGGAGCCAGGGTCCCCTCAGAGACCCCTGGGGACCAGGTCTCCTGGAATCCAGACTGTGATTTGGGGATTTGTCTTTTCGCTGTGAAGCCACTAGATGTCACACAAGCAAACAGCAGGTCTGATAACACCAACACAAACAGATGAGGAGCTGCTCTTCATCTGTGACACATGATGCTCTCATTACAAGATGTGATCAGAAGCCTGCGAGCTGCTTCTGTGTCTTGATCGTTCGTTGTGAGAAATCACTTCCTGGATTTCCTTGATTGGTGTTTCGAGGAAAAATAATCGCGTTGAGATCCGTGCGTCATCTGGACCCCGGCGGCGGCGGCGCGCACAGTGCCCCCGCCGTGGTCGTGCCTCTGAGCGGAGTAACCGGTTTAGTGAGCGCGCACAGCGATCACCGATCAACACGCTCGTCGCACCCACCGACCAATCAATTCAACCCGGATGACCTCCGGAGTGACGCGGCTCTCCGGTGGGAGTGTGCGCGGAGGAAGCAGCGCCGGAGGAGAGGGATGGATGGATGGATGGATGGATGGATGTCTGCAAGTCTCTAGCGCTGTCGTAAAACAAGAGCAGGTCAGATACTGATAGAGCGATGCCAGGGGTAACCAAGTATAATCTGGTAGATGACGTGCACGATCTGAGGATCCCCATGCACAACGAGGATGTGTTCAAGCACGGGGTCTGCTTCGAGGCAAAGGTAAGGACCCTCTGCAACTGTTCCTGCAGGATATGTCACACACTGTGCGTTCATGTGCCTGTAACAGATACCACTGTGTGGTGGTGATGCTGCTCACTCTCTACTTTGCATGACTTTATAAACATTTTAGAGCTGAAACAATTGGGCAATTATTTAATTCTCCATATATTAACAGAAAATGCTGCCATTATTTTTGTTTCAGTCTTTTTTCAAACTAATTTTACACATTTGCAGGTTCCAGCTTTCCACATTTGAGGGTTTGCTGAATGTCTCCGTCATTTATAACAGTAGACTAAATGTACAGTAAAGGCAAAGGCCGTCTTTGAGTTGTGGACTTTTGTCTGACTAAATAAGACTAAAATTAACAGGCTTATGTACGTCACTTTATCTATATGGCAACATGTGATTTTTCATGATATTTTGATATTTTATGGACAAAACAATAAATCGATTGATTGGGAACATGAAAGTCAGATCATGAAAACAGTTGTTGGCTTTTCTGTATGTGTTGAATGTTTATATATTCATAATAATTCTTATTTTCTCTTAGTGGATTCTCTTTTGTCTTTGCTATGTTATGTGTTAATGCACCATGAGGACTCCTGAACATAAACTTCTACTCCAATTTCCTAACAGAAGTGAATATTTGCGGGAATGACAGTCTTTGAATCTTTCTCTGTCACTCTGCAGTACATCGGCAGTTTGGAGGTGGGTCGTCCTGGGAGTCGGATGGAGATTGTCGCCGCAATGAGGCGAATCAGAGTAAGGCACTTACATATGTAGCTGCTCCGTGCACATCAGTCCTCTCTCATGTCTCACCTTGTGCAGAGTTCTCAGAGGATAAACCCCCCCTCAACATCCTATAATTCGCATAAATCACCAGTCAGGGTAAAAGTACACACTTGGCAGGTTCACTGAGCTGTCAGGAGCGGTTTAAATCACACAAGGATTCATAGAGCAGCTCTGTTTTTATGGCTGAATAGAGCACAAAGGTTTATATGTGATACCATTAGAAAAACCAAAACCTCCCAAGCCCTCCTCTCTTATTAAGGCCACTGGAAACCCTGCGTTGCCTGGTCCTTACACATCATCAGTGCAGTGCTACAGAGGCACTGGGAGGAGAGGATTTAGCTGTTTGTCAGCTGTTGTATCTAATCTAGCATCCAAGTTCTTGTGTCAGTGGCGGAGGTCGGCCACGTCCCCAGTGACACCCGAGAGGAACTTAATCCTGATCCTTTAAGTACGGTGCCTTATAATGATTTACTACTTACAGAGTTTTATTGATTATTTCACATTTATTTTAAGTTTATCTCAATTTGTCTGATTGTAACATGATCATGGTGGCAGGGGACTAGATTGCTCCTTTCATCTCTGTCGGACATTTTTTTTCATGTACAAATACTTTAAACATTGAAACACATCTTCATGAATGTAAGATGATGTCTTTTCTTACCAATGTTGTAAATATTGATATTTTTTATGTGCTCTAATACTCTTGACATCTATTGCACTTCTATCCATCCTGAGAGAGGGGTCCCTCACATGTGGCTCTCTCTGGTGTTTTTCCAATTTTAATAGGTTTGCCCTTTTCATCTTTGAGTTTTTCTGAATAAATAAATATCTGATGTATGTACCTTATCTTCAGCGATTTGAAGCAAAGTAAAAAGTTAAAGAAGTAAAAATATAGGAGAAAATTAGACAAGTTATGAAATTAATAAACTAAACAGCATGATATAAATGTAATAAGAAAACATAAAAACATGTCAGTTAAGGAGTTGGGCTGTTTGTGAGCTCTGTAGCGGCACAGTAATTAAGAGCTTCTGCTTCTGGAGGAGACAGACTCTGAATATTCAGAAGCAAATTTGCCCTTAAAGTGCTCACAGTGGCTTAGAGATTAGACCAGAGGTATGTTTACCCAACCTGTCTTATTTGTTTTGCTTGGGGGGGGGTTCAGTATTAGTCGTAGCTGAGGCTGATATGCATGAAAAATGCAGCATGAACTGTTCCCGTGTTCCACTTCCTCTCGTCCCAGATCACATGAGGCTGCATTATAAACACATTAAAGTAGAATTCCTGGATTTTTCAATGCTGGCAAAATGTTTTTTAATAAAGGCGTGTAAATTAATGGTTCAAAAACATTTGGAATCTGTCCATTAGATGGCCTCCGCCTGCAGCCATGACACAGTAGCAGTGGCTACAATGTAATGTCATGGGGCAACTGCGACAGTCAATAAAAGGCTGTGAGTTGTCTCATTCAGGGAAACATAATGTTGCCAGACTGATACCAAAGACTAATAACAAAAAGTAAACACATTTAGAGGACATCTTGTGGCCTGTCGTTGTTGCCTCACAAGATCACATTATAGCCAATCCCACAGTGTCATGGCTGCAGGCGATCTAATGGACTCATTAACACACCCATTTCATGAAAACAGGGCCCAGGTTGAAAATGCTAGAATTTCCCTTTAAGGGAGTTGAGTCCTTCAATTCATCATATCTGATTGTAGAAACGTTTCCACCAAACAATAAGACAAATGAACTTATTAAGAGCATATGACAAGAAATTTTAAGAATGTTCTAGTGAAGTGCTTTTCATCTAAATGTGACAAATGTACCAAGCTTATAAACAAACTGCTCCAGATTTATTAGCCCTAAAAATCACCAGGTCTGACATGTCATGTTGCTCATAACAACATCCCCCCATTTAATTGATTCTATGTCAGTCAAAGAGTGAATAAGCTAGCTCCAATCACGCTGAGAATAAAAGACAGCACTAGGTTGCTATTTTTTAAGTCAGCCCGACATGAAGACTGGGGACTTCATAGAACTTCATTTGATCAATTAGTTATCTGATGCTGGACTTTTTTTTTTTTAAAGCAGGAAATATTATATCAGATAAATCACGCTTGCTCCCAGATCTCTGGGCACTGATATTTGCAGCGTGCAGTGCCTGCAGTGGAGGAAGAGGGTACAGTCTCCAGCATTAATCATGGAGAGGGATGAAAGTGTCCCACACACGCCTGCCTACCTCTGGGAAGTCTCTTTGAAAGCTTAAACAGCTTCCAGAAACACAAACTGACAGTTTCTTGCTGTTTACTCAATCGCAGTTTCCCCCTGAGAAGAAGATAGTCAGACATATCTCCCTGTCATTATCCCTCTCCGGGTTTTCCAATATTTCAGTTTTCTTGTGTAAAGAGCTCAGTATAAGCAGGACTGGGTGAAATTTTATTCCAGTAGGATAATAATCAGTATGGTTTAATTTGACTTTTGGACATTTTTTTTGGCCTATACCTGGAATGTTAATGAGTTTATCATTCTTCCTCCACAGTATGAATTCAAACTGAAGAACATAAAGAAGAAGAAGGTCAACATTGTTGTATCCACTGACAGTGTAAAAGTGATTCTACGCAAAAAGAAGGTCTGTAATTTAAAATGTAATTTTATGTACATTTAAAAAAAAAATATCTGTCTTTAAAATCATATATGTCTGCTCGTGTTTTTGTGTTGTGACAGAGAAAAGGGTGCTCATGGGATGAGAATACCTTCCTGGTGACACAGGATCCCATCCACAGGTAGTCTAATGTCCTCCTGATCATTTTATGACAGGAGTCAAATTGAAGCACAGCATGTAAAACCTCATTGAACTCATTTCATGTATTTTCTTGCTCAATAGGATCTTTTATGTCTCACATGATGCTCAAGACTTGAAGATCTTCAGTTACATAGCCAGAGATGGACCGAGCAACATTTTCCGATGCAATGTGTTCAAGTCAAAGAGGAAGGTAAGTTTAACTTCCTGATTAAAAATCTCATTGAATGCTTTGACCAAAAGTGTTTCTTATTAAAGCATTGGGAATCGGTTGAGTAGATCACCTCCACCGGCAGCCACGATGCAGTGGCAGTGGCTACGATGGAATCCTATGGGGCAGTCCACAAAATGTCTTTTAAATATGCTTTTTTGCCAATATAAGCATCAAATGGTTATTCTGGGTCTTCTAAGAGTCTACAAACATTACACATGTCTGGCTTAATGATAAATTTCACTCTCTTTTCATTCATACAACCCATTCAAAACATAGGACCCAGTTTGAAAAATACCAGAATTCCCCTTTAATAGTGAGCTTCAGAGGCTTGCAGCAACATTTTGTTATTTTTCTGGACAGGCTAGCTGGTTCCCCCTATTTTCTGTGTTTGGCACAGACAGGAACAATGTGTTGTGTATTCATATTTGTGGCCACAGCCTCGTGATGTATGGCACTATTGGACCTGTACACACAGCCAATTAATATGACAGACAGCTCCACCCCATGTGAGTTAGGTAAAACGCTATTGTAATTGAAAGGCATGTTCTTCTCCTCTGCATATCTGCATATCAAGCAGTGACATTTTTTCCTCTATGACAAAGACAGAGCGTCACTGAGGTTGATCCCATCCCTTCACTATGGATACCAGACAGACAGTGACTTAGTGAAGCTGCATACTAATCATCCCAGTGGGAAGAGAAAGGAAGATGGGCTTTTTCCTCAGCTCTTAAAGACATTTTCACCGCTGCTGTAGAAAAACACCCATCTTCAAATGGTTCGGGACACAGGCCGCGGCGCCTCGGCGCCTCCCCAGGGCTACGGGGCCTTATCTGGGTGATGCAGACCAAGCATTTGTGCTGAGTAGGAGGAGATAGGGCAGCTGATAAGAGGAAATTTGATTTATTTTCATCATGGCTTGTTGTAGCCCAGCAGGGCTCAGATGTCAGCTCCATACATCAACAGAGCATTTCGTGCTTGGCCATGGGAGCGCTGTTTTTTTTTTTTTTCACTTGACAGTTTAAAACAGAATTACATTTTACATTGGCAGAGCAAAGTAATCCATTTCATGACTTTATTCCCTAGATTTTTCTTGAGTACTTTGAAGTTTGAGCACCCTTGACATATTGACTGAGCGCCTGAAGGCAGGATGAACAGAGAGCAATGCATTTCATCTTGATGCTGCTTCTGCTGATATTAAATGTAGGAAACACAAATACTCACCATAAATGAGAGTGAGTAGGGACATGGTGGACAAACTTAAATTTCAGCATGTTATGGTGTTATGAAAAAAAGAGAAACCGTTGTGTTTCAAATGCCACATTGAATTTTTTTCTGGAAACAGTGCTGTAAACCTCTACTAAAAGTAAAAGTAAAATGTATTCAAATGGAGGGAAAATTTTAATAATTTAAAAGTACAAATTAAATCAATGAAAATAAATTCCTGGACCCTTAATCGAATCTCCTCCAAAAGTTAACGGGTTCTTCCTTCGCCCATACCTAACCCTTCCGCAGAATTATGATTGACAGCTGAGACTTGATTCACAATTGGTCGAGCATGTGTATCGATGGGACCTCACTACCACGGCTCCATCCTTTGATCGCGACTGCGCAGACTCTGGCTCTAAATGCGCAAGATGGCAGCGTTCATATATTTATATTTATCCATTGTATTTTGAGTTAAGTGTCCCTGATTGATGATGCAGACACACCCACTGAGCCTCCTGCAATAACAAACAAACTTAGTCTTCACCTCCTCCCTGCCATCACAGTTAGTTGCCTCTAAAGCAGACCGATCCATCTCTCTGACAGCACAACGTATGCAGAGCAGATAGACAAGGACAAACAAGTTGAGCCCTGCGCTTGTCATATCTTCTCACCTCAAATTGGTCTCTATCTTCCCTCAGCTTTACCCTGTCTTCATTTTTCATCTCATTATTACTGACTTGTCTTCTTACCTGTGCGCACACACACACTCAATCTGCCTATCCATTTTTCTTCCTGCACAACTTCTCTGCCACCTCATTTTCTCCCCGACTGGCTTCCTTTCTCTTGCATCCTCCCTCACTGCGCTGCTCCTGCTGCTTTCCCCCACCCCTGCTCTCCTTTTCTCACACACAAACAGACAAACATACACACACTTTGTCTCTGTGTCCTCCTTCACAGTCTCAGGCCATGAGGATCGTGAGGACGGTGGGTCAGGCGTTTGATGTGTGCCACCAGCTGACCCTGCAGCAGAAAACCGACGACCAGGGGGATGAGGAGGGAAACGACGAGGGGTCTGAGGCAGTGCCAGGTGACTCACATCTACCTATGAACAGACGCACAAGCACACACATACACACAAAATTGCATCCATACATCCAGTCCCCTCCCCCCTCCTGTCTCTCTCCTCACTGTTCTTCTGTCGCACACACACATAAACTCCCACAACAGCACACAAACTCCTTATGGGTTCTTCTTCTTCATCCTCTCTACCTCTGTCTTTCACTGGCACACAAACACAAACCCTTAGCGCCTGCAGAAACAAACGGTCCTTTGCTGCTTGACGTACTGCAGCTGCAGATTGGTTTGGGGGGAATCGTGCAGGCCACTGATCAAAGACCTTGCTTGTGTGGGCTGCAGCTGCTGTCAGCGCCTGTAGATGTGTCGTAAACTGTAAAACAACAGCATGAAAATCTCCGCCCGTATACTGAATGTATCTGGTCTCTCCACAGCGAAGAAGAGGTTTGCGTTGTCAGAAGAGACCGACCTTGAAGCCACTACAGAGGAGAGCATCGAGTGTGTCTCTTCATCAGACCCGGACAAGAGTAAAAAAGATGAGGCCCTCGGTAACGATGTGAAGGTAATGTGCATAAGTTGTCCTTAATTGCATCATGGTGTGATCGTGTAAAGCACCACGCTATTTTCAAACTCCATTAGGAACTGAAGGTTTTATGAAGCCATAACTGCAGATAGTGATTTTTTTAGGCTAGCAAACTAAATCATTTTCATTATGAAGTAACCTCCACATTTTTTTACTGTATCAATTCATTATTTGGTCTTTAAGGTCTCAGAAGGTAATGAAAAATGATCCTTGAAAAACTTTTTCAGATCACTCATTTTGTGAAATCAATGGTACAAAAAGAAAAAAATCCTTTCACAAAAGACAAAAAAACTGCAAATATTCAAGTTTTAGAATCAATGTTTTGTGAGTTTAAAAAATGAATGAAAGGGACACGTCACCCAGTTTGCAAATAAAGTGTTCAATGTTTTATGAAGTTCTTAACCTTGATTCTGTAATATGATGTTATCAGGGTTCAGAGGGGGCTAGCAGCAAAACGTCTTGTGGTGACCCACTAAATCTCTCACAGAGACCAATACGCACAACGTCGTATCTGAAGGGAGGATAAACCCTCGGCCCCTGGACAAGATGTCAAGTTCAGGGTTCAACACATGTATTTATAACAGAAAGTCTATTCTAAAATGAGACACGAGTAGTTTGAAATACATGGTTTTTGGAGATATCTTGGCCTCTTCTGCACAGATTTTGACCATCCTCTTTAAACTTTAATTACACATATCACGCTCATATTTGGTTGAATGATTTTATTGATCTTATTTGACAAGGTTCAGAAAACACACCACTGTCCTCACACCATCCATTGCTGCAGCGCCTCTGTCTGACACGCTTGGTTTTAGGTCCTGTCCCGGTCTGTTCTGATTAGGAAGACGTCAGCCTCCGCTCTTAATTTAGCTGCTTGGCGAGCGTTACACAAATGTGGGGAATCATGATGTAAAGCTTCAGGATCAGTGTTTTCTGTGGAGGAGAGGAGCTTCCTCTACTGCAGACTTTGGGTTTTTTAACCTTGCAGAACACCAACATTCACAAAAAGCCTATAAAAGACACCAGAAGACCAAAACACTGAAAGATCACAACATGTGTCTCTTAATGAAAGGGCAATGCTAAATTGCTGGAGTTGCCCTTTAAACAATTATCAAAATGTTTGCAGATTACATCACTGTTGTTTGAATCATCTATGAATATACTCTACTTAAAGCTAGGGTTGGTAATCCTGGAAAAGCAAACAAGAGCAGACTACAATTTGAAAGCGTCTAACAGATACGTATCACCCCTCCCATCACTCCTCTCATTACAGCCATGCCCCAAAAACACATGAACATGCACAGACGAACTGGCAGACAATGACTTTTCCGTGACTCACTCGCTAACTTCGTCTCTGCTTTAGTGGTGTCAAAACCTTGCTGGGTTGTGGAGACAAGTAGAGCATGTGCAGGGCGGCAGGTCACAAAGAGATTCACCTGTCAATTAGTTTATTCTGTTGTGTTTATTTCAGTCCTGCAAGGTTTTCAGTGATTGGGATGTGAAGAAGATTTCAACAAATAAGATAAGTGTTTCAGAAACACCACCTTCAAATGCAACACCCAAAAACTTTTAAAGCCTGTAAAGCCACTTACGACTAGTGAACTGATTCATTCATGTCCCATGCAGCTCCTTTCAACCAAACATGTCACAAACAAGTTACATAAATGACTCCAGGAAAAAGTGATTGATTTAATATGCTCATCGTACCCAAGAAACTTCTGAGGACAAACGTGATGTTTTTTAGGCAGAGCATTTTAGAAAATACTGATCTAAAACTTTGAAAAAGCCTTGTTGATAAATAATTCTGGAGGGCTCGCAGCTCATATGATGAAAGTGAAGATGAGAGAACATCAGTGTGGAACGCACAGCAAGAAAACCATGTCTTTAATGGTTGTTTGTGAGGAGACCCTCCACAGGGTGCTCTGATATTGACGGGATCAAATGGTTTGTTGTTGAAAATACAGCAAGGTTTTTCTAATGCTGCTCTCCTAATCCTGCAGGGTTGGACGAGTGGCTGTTTGCTTTCTGATATTTGTCGTCTCATTTTACAGCCACTGTCGGCTTTATTACTCAAGAGAGGATACTAGTGTTGTTCTGGTGCGGGAGTTGATTAGTTTGAATTGAATGGATATTACATCCAATTACATGGTTACATGAAAACAAGGAAATTAGTTTTATATTTTAATTCTCTTAATGCAGTCCCGCTACAATAACACATCAGCATTTCATTTGTTCGGTTCTCGCTCGCAATGTCTCTGTCTCCCATGAGATGAAGGTCAAGTGTCCTTCACAGTTTAATAATAAAGACAAGTGTGTCCAACATATTTATCTCCCATCTCAGATATGACAGATCAGTCGTGTCCTTCATGGCGGCTCCTTCCAACAATAATGTTGTAATACACATGTGCTCAATCCAAACAACAGTGGCTCATTCAGATCTGTTATAATAGATTGATTAGAGATTAGATGCATGACTCCACTTTGTATTTTTCATTAGACCAGAATTAGGTCTGACATTTGACATAATTAAAGTAAAATGCCTGGTAGGATTAATCGATCTTTGAAGGACAGAATCGCATTTCAACCAGCTCTAAAGCCGCTATTATTGTTGAGTAATACAGCTGATGATTATATTAACAAATTATGTGTGTAGGATGAGATGCATTTATTACATAAACCTACACAGAAGAAGAACTGAGGTGACTGGAGAAGATGAAATAAAAAAGTCCATCACATAAAAGGAAATGCTCCAGGAGATAAGGTTGTTAAAGAGGAAGGTGGCGTGATGAAGACAGACCTATAATGGCTGCATACAGGCAGCTGCTGGGGGAAATCGAAAGGCTAAAAAACGATCCGCAAAGGAAATGAGCCTCTCGTCCAGAAAAAAAAGGAATTATGGAGATGGAGCTCAGCAAAGAACTGCCGAGTGAAAACAGAAATGTAGAGAGGTTCAACAAGACACTCAAGGTGCGGAGTGTTTTCAGGTAGTCTATCCAATTCTTGTGATTATGATATGTTTAGTGGACACAGGGAAGTTCTTCAAATTTATGTTCACTTGGACTCAAAGAGGAACTGATTCAATTTTAGTTCACAAAGTTAACGGTCACTTATATGAGTCTGGAATAAAATGTGCATAGATATACATGTAGAGTGACACTGCACTGGTTGGAGGAGGAATAAACCACAGGCTGGATATTGTAGTTTATTCAGATGTTGTTGAAAGAGGAGAAGAGTTTGAGCACTGAGCTTCAGCTCAAGGCCTCAGAGACAGATGCTGCTGCATTTATAAGCAGTGCATCTATGTGCAGCACGTTCTATATCACACATCTCACAGACACTGCCAGCACAGCCGTCAGGGGAAAGGTGGGGTTCAGTCGTCCACCAACCTTTTGGCTAGTGGACAACCCGCTGTATCACCTAAGCCACAGTCACTCAAAGAAGACTTGACAAAACTTCACCAATAATACAAAGACTTCTGAAATCTAAGAGTGAAGAGATTCAACATCTTAAAGAAAAAACAGAGAGGCAGACCAAAAGAAGACAGAGCAGTCAGGAGTAACGAAAAAATACAAGCCTTGCATCAAAAATCCTGAGTTTAAATCCAGCACAGTAACACTGGTTCTTTAAGAGGAACCAGGCAGGGGAAGAGAGGATGTACCAATGATACTCCTGTGATACCAACTGTTACATTTCTCTGTTAGCAGAAACAATAATGCTGACAACCAACAAAGAGAGAACTCAGAGCGGACGTGAGGCGGTCAAAGAAAAAAGGTTTATTTACAATATTTAAATGAAGGTAAACAACAAACGTAGGTTTGAAACGTGGGGGAAGGAGGAACTGTGGGGGTTGTACAACAAAATAGGGCCTAGCTCAACTCTATCTGTGAGGAAAGAAAAAGAAAACAAAAGGCCTGACTATCTTATCTACAAAAGTGTCTAAAAATAATAAAAGTACAACAGTGGCAACAACCCATAACCTGGTGTAGTAACATTTCTTCCTAAGTGTGTACCCCAGCCTTACCTCAGTTCTACCTCCCCACCACAAACCCTCTTTGACAGCAAAGCAACATAGATGGGGGAACAAAGCAAAAGAGAGGCTTTTAAATGGTGCTCTCCGTCTCTGATTGGCTAATTGGCTGGAGTGTGAGCCAATCCACAGCTCTTGTGGAGCTCACAGGTGGCAGCCAATCTTCCACTTCTCACCTGCAGGACAAAGGGAGGAGAGAGCGAGAGAGAGAGACACCCGCCCCCACACAGAACTCTATACATGTAACACCAACATATACCACATTCACACACATTATCAATTTGTCCCAATAGTTTTATATCCACTAATGACCCCAGTTTGTGCCCATCATTTATTAGAATATTGAATCAAAGAGGAAACCTAGAAACAACACAGCAGCTCGTGTCTCAACTTGAGAATTGGGTTAAGCATGGAAGCAGATGGAATTTGTTTTCATCCAGATGGTTGGAAAAGTATTTTGAAAATACCATCAGAGCAGAGGTAAAAATGACAAACGTGGATCTGTGTACTCAGCATCCGAGCCAAAACAAACCTGATGAGAAGAGAATTTCCTGCCCTAAACCCCTGTGATCGTCTGGTCTGATCACAGCTGTGGAAATACTCTGTGTACATACAGGACATTCTGCCGCCCCCACACAGACAGACGTGAATATAACACACCACACAGTAAATAATAACCACAGTGTGTGTATATACCGACTACTACTCTGTGTGTGCTTGTGCTTGTGCTTGTGTATGTGTGTGTGTGTGTGTGTGTGTGTGTGTGTGTGTCTGTGTGTGTGTGTGAGAAAGCGACAGAGAGAGATCAAGCTTGTTACTGACTGGTCTGATTCTCCTCCAACTGCTGCTGCTTGTTCAGCCACTGTCACTTTTTCCATGAAAAATAGTATAAAAATGTTCACAATCACAGAAGACACTGTGCAAAGCTGCTTCTTAGTGGAGCTGTGGACATCACAGTAATTCCCTCAGCCCCTCCTTTCTCTGCTCTCTCTCTCTCTCTCTCTCTCTCTTTCAGACACACCAACTTGCCATTGGGAGCACTATAGTAAATATATATATTTACCAGTGGACCATAAGTTTTACACCCATTTTATACCTGTCTGTCTCTTTACTGCCCTCTCTGTGTGCCTGGGGTGTGCATGAGAGCAAGCTGCACAAATGTGCCAGGACTGGGCTCACTGGGCATCCCACACTTTAATTCTGATGGAGAAATAGTCTCATACTTTACCTTTAGTTCTGTCTAGTGCACAGCCAACCCGCAGCTTTTGTTTACTGTATTTTTTGTGGAAGTAGGCAACATTGTTATTGTCAGAATCCCACTGTGCTGTGGAGGTTCTCCACTGCATGCTTCTGCACTGACATACAATTATCATGTTCGGATCTGTTGCAGCTTCTCTTCTGTTTCTTTTCATGAAACTTGAACTTGTCTTCATGGTTGCTATTATCACTCCATCTACCAGATCAAACAAACAACGAGACAGACAATTAAAGAAAAACAGATATCATATGCTTTCACATTATGATCACTTTGACAGACAGTAAGAAGCAGTTTACCCTGATTTATCTGTTGAAGGTGTCTGATGACCCATCTCCTCTGCTGGGTTCTCCCATCCTCGGGGCGTCTGTGTCGGGTCAGTTGACAGCTGAGGCTCCCTGCTCTGCAGAGCACCACGTCCAGCTCCTTCAAAAACAACTGCAGCAGCAGGAACAGCAGGCTCTGGCAGCTGGAGCACAGGTACTGAGGAGAGTGGACAGATTCTTTTCATCCTCCATCTAGAAATTCCACACACAGTATTTTTCTTTTTATGAAACTATTTACTTTGATTACTGAACAATCCAATGTTCCCAGTTTATTCTTAAGTTAAATGTCAAACTTGTAAATATGTGGTACACATGTAAGGATAGACAATAGTCACATTTTCCTAATCTCAAACATTCTACTCATACAAGACTTAACTTAATATTAACAAAGTTTTAAGAGCATGTGTTTTTGATAATTGATGAACAAAGACACTGATACATTTATCCAAAGTATCATTAAAATGTCAGAATCCCTTCATTCTTTTTATTGTAAACTTCATGTTACTTGATACAAACCATCCAAACACATTCAAAACAAACTTCTTGTAACGACCTCAGGCACGAAAACTGGTGGACTCAAATGCACGACTCAGACAAGACGTAGATATAACAAAAAGAGGTGTATTCCCAGTCACAAAAGGTGCATAACAAAAAGCGCTCACGAAGAGGATAACAAAGTAGTAAATAATACTCTAACAAAACTGCGAGATAAACAAGAATACTAAACATGAAAGAAGCTAAATCCTGCTCTGACAAAATCTCATACATGAAGCGTGGGGACAGAACAAGAGGAACTGGCACAGGACAAAGGGAAACGAAGACTATTTATACAAGAGGAAGTAGGAAACAGGTGAAACCAATCAGGGGCAGGGAAGACGATCACGAAGGCGAGAAATCACAAAAAGGGAGGAAGTCAGGGTCTGAAATGAGAGGGAAGAGGTGAGTACCAAAATAAAACAGGAAGTGCACGACGAGACTAGACATGAGTGAAGTTTAACTTAACACCTAGTGCTCCCAAACACACAAGACTAGACATGAACTAACACAAACATGGTATACTTAAAACATAAACATGAATAAACTTAACATAACTGACGAGACATAACACTTCTGGCAATAAAGAAACACAAATCACAGTTACATCTGATCATAGAATGAAAATATTGTGTGATGAGGTAATTCAGGTAACTTTGATAACTCTTTTAATTTTTACATGAACGTTTCAACACTTTTATATCAAATATTTTTTGTGGGGTTTCTGCCTGTTTTTGTCACGAGTTGAACTGTTTTGGTGTGTTCAGGTTCACGTGCTCCAGGAGCAGCTGTCAGTGGAGGTGTGTGCACGTACCGAGGCTCAAGCCAGAGTGCAGAGGCTGCTGCAGCAGAACACCGACCTGCTGCAGCACATCTCCCTGCTGGTCAAACAGATCCAGGAGCTGGAGCTCAAAGCTGCCGGCCAACTGACATCCAGTGAGTGGAAATCTGCTTTATTCTTGACTTTTGACTCAGCCTCCATTTTTCATTTACAGAATCTATTTAACTGCCTGAATCTTCCTCCGTTTCCTTTCTTTCTCTTTTATAAACGTGTCATAAAATCTTTTTTTTCCTGTCATCTCTTCTGTCAAAAAATTTTTTCCTCACCCGTTTCCCTTCCCTCTTTTTCTGATCCACTCGTGACACACGATTAATTATCCAGCCCTTTCAGAGGATTCACTGCTGCTCTCTGCTCTCCCCTCCCTGCATTTAGCACCAGGCAATATGCTGCCATACAGTCATGAATTATCAAATCCTCTCAGCACAGACGTCACTGCACTCTAAATAATCTCATCTGCCTCTTTCAGACCTCTCTTCTTACATGTGATGAGTAAATTCTCTGTGGTTTGTTTCATCTGTCTCTAACTCTCTCCTCTCGTATCTTTTTTTGGATTTGTTCTCAGTGGGCTCGCAGGACAGCCTCCTGGAGATCACTTTTCGCGCCAAGCCTCCCCAGCGTGAACCGCTCACCCTGTCTTCACATATTGGCCCATCAGCCTCTCAGTCCCACCTCCAGATCTGTGACAGTGCCTGGGTCTCGGCCCTCCCCGGGCCCTGCTCTCCAGGCACCATGGGCGCCAACACCAGCCCTCTGGGGCTGAGTGGCAGCGGAGTTCGACTCGAATGTTTCCGATTCTCCTCCCGGGCTCCAGATAGCCAGGAGCAGGGCCAGGACACAGGGGAGACCCCCAGCGATGGAGCCCCGGATGAGATCTCGCTGCTGGGGGAGCAAGTCCTCGGAGCCCTGGAGCTGCTTCGGTTCAGAGAGTCAGGAATCGGATCAGAGTACGAATCAAACACAGATGAGAGCGACGACCGAGACAGCTGGGGACAGGGCGAGGGCATAGGGGCCGACGGTGCAGCTCGACTCTTAAACGTGCTGAATGCAGAGAGTCTGCCGGACTGCTTAGGGGATGAGATGGCTGTGTAGTGGTGCTGTGAAAGCTGCACTAGGCAACTTTGTAACTTATGTCCAATCCCAATGGAGAAGAGGTGACATTCAGAACCTAAAAGACTTCATGGCACAGAAATCATGCATGGTGACATCAGTAAACAGCATCTTATGCAGGTATGAATTATGGCTGATAGCTGGACTGAGCGCTTACTCACCACAGGTCTGATGAAAGTTTCAACTTTACCCTCAAGTTTTGATTTGTCACTTTCTATGGACTGAGACTCAGTCATGCATAAGTGAGCAGTAAATAATAAGAACAAAAATAAAGATGTCTCGAAATTTAGAATGGCTTGATGACGACATAAAGATTTCATTGAAACATATTGATACCTAGAACATCATCTAACTCGTACAAGTTAGTAAACACGTGTTCAATGACAACATCCTTCACAGAATAATCATATTTTAATAAGAAGTAAGGATCATAGTTCTCTTCGGATAAAATATAAAATGTGGGGATGTGAACCAAATCAAGCTGTTTGTTGTCAAACCCTAATGTCTGTATCAAATACATTTAAATTAGCATAAACTGTATATAAAGATGACAGGACTACCCCCAAAAAGTAGAGCCAGCCAAGTGTTTTGATCGCCACCTGGTGGCTGGCCGCATTATTAACACCTCCTCCGTGTTAGTAGACAGGACATGGAATAAACTACAAAATGGACCTAAACATCAAATAATTTTTTCTCGAATATTGTTTCTGTCATTTTATGTAGTTCTGATGTGTGAGGAAGTATTTTTCTGACAAGTTTGGTTTTAATCACTTATTTAATGCTATAAAAATGGGATTTGCGATTGATCCAGGGGGGGTATCAACGACACCTTGCTACCGTGCCTCCTTACCCTGATTGCTATAGACTCTCGCAACTTTATTTCAGGATAGGAGGACATGGAGAAGCATTGTCCATCTTTATATACAGTCTATGTAGATAAGACTCTATTATCTCAGTCTATTCATCATGTCCACCATCTTACCGTAGGCATGCGTAGGCATTCTAACATTTGCCGATCAGCACTACACTAAGTACAACTGAGGCTGACTTGAACAGTTTTTACTGGCACATGATCCTAAATTTAAATATCTAGCTAAATTTAAATTTTGTCTTGACAGCAGATTTATCAATCCAGTCCGAGATTAAATCTTCATGAGCTCCATGCTACAGCCTACACTGGGAGTTATTTCCTGTGATTTGGAGCTAGAATGACATTGAGTAGAGAGCATACCTCCACCACGGCCCAAAAAACAGACTTCTATGACACAAATTAGCTTCAGTCAAACTTGTCAGGTAGTTTAAACACTGGTGTTTCAGACTGTCTCGCTCTCTGCTGCCTCCAAACATTTATGTTACATACCGTGTGTTTGTGTGTATCAGTCTGATGATTGTTGTACCTTACGTACTCCTTTGCCAAATCTGTCTGGACAAGCTCTCGTGGTTTTATTTGGAGTGTGAATAATGAAAAATCTTGCTGTGCTTGCTTTGACACTTAGTCTGTGAATTATACATGGATTTAAAAATGAGCATGTATCTGTCGCAGTCTGATTTACCCTCTCTCCTCAGTGTGATGTATATATTCAGATTTACTTTGATGCTCTGCAGCCAATACACGGCTCGGTTTCATTCATACTTTTCTTCATCTTCTTACAAAACATTTTCCAATGAGGTGTTTTAGAGATAAACTCCTCCCTGTGTGCAGGTGCTGCTACAGTCCCGTCCCTGCTGCTTAAATCTGTTATTTATTAATGCCGTACTGCGGCAGCGACACACTGCCGCATCGCCGCTGCTCCACCCCTGAGAGAGAGGATTGTTTGAGTCACCCAGGCGGCATACAGGGAACCTCTGGGCCCCTTCATATTTTTGCGGCCTCGCTGACTGAGAGCCAACACAATGAATCGCTGAATTGATGACGTTTCTTTGAGCTCTTTCCAAAAATCGATTCATGTCTTCTTGGCCCTCCTCCTCCTCATCTCCCTCACTCACCTTCCTCCTCCTCTTTCCCCCTGAAGCTCATTACCTCTTTCCCCCACTGCCTTGCACTCACAATCTGTCGGCCGTATCCATACATCCATATCTCTCTGTCAATCAGTGCCGCTTCCCTCCAAGGTTACACTGCACCTGTTCACATGAAGTGTACTAAAAACTAAAGTGCACTTAAGTCAAAGTCTCCCCAAATGGAATTAAACGCCCTTTCCCAAATGCCATGTGGTGCTATGATATGTCTAGCACGTTTAGTGCGATTCACGCATGAAATTTCTCTCAAACAGCGCCGGTTTCTGGGCTGACCTTTCCCAAACGCTTTTCTCGTTAGTATTTATAATTGCTGATGGGATGTGGCGAGGTGCTTTGTGAGGGTGTTGGCTCTCTATTATCATCGGAGATACACCAGCTGTGGCCATTAAACAGGGTCAGCTCCCCTCGCGCTCACTGTGTCTGCGCGCTTAGAGCAGCAGCTTGATGCAACACTGCAGATACCCTGGATAAATATGAAAAATATCAGCCATTACCCACCCACACCCAGCAGCTCCACTCACACAGCTGCTGCTGACACAGACAGTGGGCGGCCTCCAGGAGGTGGCCCCTGCTCTCATTTGCTTGATTATAGTGAAGGATGGTCTGTAGTGTCACTCTGCTCACCCCCTCCACAATCTGTATATGTTCATTGCTTTGTATTCTACAGGTCAACTGGATTCAACAAACATGTTATCACTGCAGTCTTGCCTTTTTTTTTGACTGTCTAGATTTGAGAGACATTCATGGTTCCCAGATGATGAATCCTGCAGCTTTTCGTTATATAATCTCCCAGTTTTTGCTCTAGCACCACCATGAGTTTGACATTTGTGGTTTACACTAAAGTAATTTATCTCATGATGATTGTCATGTATTTTACTACGATCAGTCATGTTCAAACAGACAGGTTGAAACGTAAACATTTCAATGATTGCTCAACTTTTTTTCAACTTTTTTCGTTTACCCAAAGCAAATGTCAATAAGCGAACTCATTAGCTGCTAAACATCGGCTTTTTAAAGGTGTCCTGTGGAGTCAGGCTAAAGTGTTTCCACTGAGTGTTACTCACCGAAACACAGTCTGTCAATGAAATTCAATAAAGGATTTTTTTTTTCATCATAACATATGAAATTTGATTTGTATCAAGCTTTGATTTTTATCTCACTTTAAAAACAAACTATTTCCTAACATCAATTAAATAGTGCATTGAACAAATATTAAACTCTACTTAACATGTTGTGCTAACACTTATTTTCTGTCCTTTTTACCTGCAAATTAGCTCCATATATTTTTTATGAGTTTCTGAGCTGGGTAAAAAAGGGTGAATCTATTTTAGTACATTAATGTATACTGTTGTTTACAAGATGTTAAAAGTATCTGGTAGATTGAAATTACATAGCATTTCATGAGTGAAGTTGTACGTGAGTTAGGCTAATATGTGTTAGTACCATGATTGTAGGAGTACAGACATGGTACAACTAATCTACCACCAAAGCCATCCTCTTATGAGATCATATCTCTGCTGGAGTTACTTTATATAAGTCCCACAGGTTGCTGCAGTGTATTAAGTGCATTTTATTTAAGCATAATATATGTATACATTTTTGGCTCCCCTGGTCAAATTACATATTTATTCATATTTGAAATGAAAATCTCAACTAAATTAAAAACTGTAATTGTGGCATGTGCAAACATTTGTGCATCCTTCTCCTTGTAATACACACTTTATTAACTGATGTTAGGGCTCATCAAGCAGTTAAAGAAATACCATTAACATTTGTTATCTGATGATAAATTACCTCTTTCTCTAAACCACTTGAACCACTGAAATCTGAAATGAAGCTGATGATAGTGATGCTTAAAAACAGGGACAGCTATAAAAAGATATGAAAGTGCTTGCAGCTGCAGTTTCCACTGTCTGAAATGTCATTATAAAATAGTAAAGGGGAATTGTGGAAGTCAAAAGGAGATCTGAGAAACCAAGAGGAAAAAAACACTCAGATAGAACTGCACATCTGCTGGGCAGGCGAAGGAAAGGCACAGCAAAACCCACACATGAGAGACCAGCAGGGAGGTTTGGCCAACTCAGGAAGCTAATGATCAAAAGTGTTTAGAGAAGAAATTAGACGTATAGACCTAAAGAACACCCTGATAAACATGCGGTTGGAAACGCTCAGTGTAGCAGGAAGTGGCAGAGGAAACATTGTACGGATGAAAGAATAAATTTCAGGAGAAACAGGAGAAAGTGAGAAGAAGCTGGATTCAGAAAAGACAATATTCCGTCTGAGCTGTTTAATGAAAGTGTTTATTCAACTAACACTCCCATGTACACACAGCTATGCATTGGTTATTCCACTGAACATGAAATTATACACAACATGTTTCTTACAGCTACAACCTTCTTAACGTTATCAAACTGCAGTTATGTTGCTCCTGTGATGTACACTCATGAATACATTTTTATTAGATTATCATGAACACTGCTACAGGGGATATACAACAGCTTATCTGGCTATTTGCTCTCTTGGTATAGGCTGCTTCATATTTAGAATACAGTCAGAAGTTATATTGAACTTCTCATTCATCTCTTAGAGAGAATCTGTTAAACTATTCCACTAAATGGGCACTATCTATTTTAAAATAAATACTGTAGACACATTATGATAAAGGTATGGGACTATACAATATATAGAATTATTACTCTACTTTCTTCCAACCATTACATTTACATCTGCTTTTGCTTTTATATAACATAACATCCTGAAGTGTCAAAAAGGACTGTGAAACAAACATGACATAAAACTGAAAATATTAACATTCAACACATAATTTAAAATACATACTACGTGCTTTACCCAGCTATGAAACCACTCTGATTCACATTTGTGCCTCTAATAATGACAACAAGCTTCTGTCTTTTGCCGTATCCATTGTATCCGTAATCCCAGTCCTGCCTCTTCTTGTTTGTATCCAGTGAGTCCGTTTTTTTTTCCTTCTGAACCATCACGTCTCCTTCAGTAATTAGCAGGTTCGTCTCTGCAGAGAAATGAGCTCCAGTCTGTTTTTGTCAGTAGCTGGTGGTGGAGGCTGCTCCGCTCAGCTGCCCCTGTGGGCCATAATTGAAACCATTTGTGGATCAGGTGGAATTCTGGGATTTTGGCTCCATCTCAAAATCCCAAGCGTGTTATTTTCTCTCTTTCTTTCCTCCAGCCAGAAGGACTGTTTCCTCCCTCTCTCTCTCTCTGTCTCTCTCTCTCTCTCCCTTCCTCTCCCTCCCTCTCTCCTTCCATTGCCAGAAAGTCCTTCAGAGAAAGAGGTCAGCGACTTGCAGTGGTGAATGCATCAGCTCACAGTGGATGTGGAATACTCCCCGACACAGATGGTTTCATAAGAACCAGAGAGGAACGTGTGAATGTAAGTCAGATCCATATTTTCCTCACATGTGAATATTAACAGTCATGTCCACGTCGACTTTGAGGGAAGTCTGTGTCAGCTCGGCTCAGCATAGAGAGTGACATCACACAAGAAAACACAACAGAATTGGCTTTAATGGCCGAGTTCACACACGTGGAAACTGACTGTGGTTTGACATTGCTCTGTACTGACACATTAGTAGACACATAGCCAGGAAAGTTACCAACAAAGATTGAACAAATAAGTTTAAAAATAGACATGTTCATCATATTATATACATATATACATATCCGTAGATACATATACACAGCACAAGTGTAATAATATTATCATACGTACATAAATAGATCTATAAAGGCTCAAAGGGGAAAGATATTGTCGCTAAATTTGTATTATTCCAGTTTGTCACCCACACATTTAGAAGCTTTTCCACCAGAAAGTAAGTGATTATCACGTGAGCTGGAAACTCCAGTGAAAGATTCATTTCAGGCACAAGTTTGTTCTGGTGTGATACAGTAAGTTAAATTAAGTGTACTGTCTTTATGTACAAAATACACACGTTACAATAGTTCTTAGTGAGTACATCACACCGGTGCAGAAGTACACTCTCCCCCCCAAAATTTTGGGTGAACGCACCACGTGAATGTGGTGTAAGTGCATTTTCTGAGCAGTTTCACAGTGAGTTGGGGGGGTAAGTCACTGAGACCTTCACTGGGCTTATACAAGGTAAATAAAACTCATACTGCAACCTCTGTGGTGGCAGAGAGAGAGAGAGAGAGAGAGAGAGAGAGAGCAGGACTGTGGCTTACAAGGACGACTGTGTGTGCATTTACCAGTGAGGAGCTCAACAGGGTTACTCAATACCACAGAACATTAGTAACATGCTGCTATCAGTGATACTTAACTGTGATTTAAACACATACATATTTAAAAACATATATATAAAACATCCCTGAGGAAAACAGGTTGTGTGAATTAAAAGATGTTAGAGATGTTATGAAGAGTATATATTTTGTACTGAGGATGATAGAATGGAATAGTTGTTTCATTTTACCGCTTATAAGTTGGCTACCTTTATTTCTAAATCTTAAAAATAAGGTTCACATCATCATCATCATCGGTATTTCAAATTTCTATATTTTCATTTATTTTCCAATTTGTGTGTTTACTCTTAAACTAATTATTATCATCTAACAAAAACTGAACAAATATGTTTAATAAGGTCTTGATCTTCTATTTAAAGTGCCTTGCGATAATGTACAATTTGATTTGGTGCTATACAAATAAAATTTAATTTATTGAATAATAGACTACTACTTATATACTCTTGTTTTATATATATATATATATATATAGCACAAGAGATCTATATATACATATCACGCAAGTATTTTATCATTATAATACCTACAAAGAAAATATCCAGAAATAGAAATATTTTGATGCCTTCTATTTCTTTTTCCAAATCTTACAATTTCTCTTAATCAGATTTTTTTTATCATTTATGTGCATTAGCTGAGCCTTTAGCTGAGCCTTTTTATAGAGTTTTTGTATGTGACTCATCATTTGACTCATCACAAATATAGATGTGGGAGCAAAATGTGTCAATATGATGTATAAAAGCGTTTAATACATCTTACTTAGCAGCACTTTGAGCCTCACCACTCACCCAATGATCTATCCTGAAATCCAGCCTTGTATATAGTTTTTCCATTTTTATTGTACAAGGCATTTCTATAACTACATTCCCTTGAGCTGATACTTCCTTGTCCTGCTGTGTAAATTGTGAATTTCCTCTCACATCATATCTCACATGTTTAGGTGTGCAGCTCCTGGAGAAGAGATGAAGGTCATGGAGGTTAAACTGATCACACGCCGCGTGGTCTTTATCCTGCTGGCTGCCTCTGCGAGAGCTCAAGTGAACCCAGGTAGATTTGTATCTGTTAACATACATGTCCAGGCACCTTCATTACAGTTGAACTGTTCCTGATTGAATGTGCTTAGTTTAAGTCACAGTGTGCGATCAGGGCCTGCAGCTACGAGCTCATCCATGCAGCTATGTCATATTTAAGCTTAAAATAACTTCTTTATTTTCCTGGGGGAGAGGTGTGTTGACAGGATGGAGAAGGAAAGCAATTTTAGGTGGGTGGGCTTAAAATGCAAGAATGTTAACGTCCATCTATGTGTGTGTGTGTACGTGTGTGTGTACGTGTGTGTGTACGTGTGTGTGTACATGTGTGTGTGTGTATGCGGTTTACCTTATGGTCAGACAGCAAATACTCCTCAGAACAGGCAGACCTTTCACATGCGGGGGGCATTCATGGAAAAAAAAGTTTTCAAATTTGTAGTAGTACCTTCTCTCACATGCACGCACACACATGCACTGCTCTGGCTGTTCCACTTAGAATATTTCCACAGTAAAAGGCGTGTTTGTTCTGCTGCTCTCTCAAAGTACATGTTAGAGAGTTCAGTGGGAAGGTGAATAAAACACACGTCCCTTAATGACCAGGTAGTGATGGAGAGAATAAACAGTGATTCTGCAGCTGTA